CAATCAGTCAATCCACAATAGTGGCATAGAATCATTTTATGTTTGTGTATATTTCTTTACATTATATGGAAGAAAAACGGATATTTCATTATTTCATATTGTAAACCTTAGAAATGATGATTGTGATTTATACGAAGGTAGTATACACCACACACTCAATGGAATTAATTGTGGTGTTTAGACATTTCAAAGATTCTCAGTGTTTAACATTTAAGCTAAGTGTGTATGATTGGAATATTTATGCAATCCTGATTGGAGCCACATATTGTATTTTCAACTCATTCCATTATATGATGTGAATCATGAAAAGACTGGAGAGAATATTGGTTTCATAAAATGTTTAAAAATGAGAAAATTCAGTTTTCTTCTTATTTTTCTTCTTGCATTTCTGCATTTATTCCCAACAATTGATCTTGGAACCGATCTTTGAACTTTTCTTAAAGATGACACATTGGACTTTCATAATCATTTATTTTTTACAGCCAGAAACTACTAGCAAAAAAATTATCAACTGTTGCACTAACTTCTGTCATCCTTTCAAATCTTATATGATATTATATACCTACTTATAAGCTACTGCCAACAATGTCTATGTTCAAACCTAGGCGGTATAACATGTATTATTTGCCATGAACTTAATTTATGAATTAAATGATTTAAAAAAATGCTTTGATATCGTCGATTCAGAAAAATTTTACTATAAAAACCTCATACGTGAGACGAGGTGGCCGAGTGGTTAAGGCGATGGACTGCTAATCCATTGGGCTCTGCCCGCGTGGGTTCGAATCCCATCATCGTCGCCATTTTGAAACATTTTTGATTCTATTGTTCTTTATTAAACTGTTATTTTTTGTCAAAACATTGTATTGACACACTCGCTTTACATATCCAAATGACGAGGTGGCCGAGTGGTTAAGGCGATGGACTGCTAATCCATTGGGCTCTGCCCGCGTGGGTTCGAATCCCATCCTCGTCGTCATTTTGGCACTTTCTTTAACTTTTTTCTAATTAAGATCAAATAGATTTTTGCATTGTTCTATGTGAATTGTGAATACACCCTACCAGAAAAGAGTTACGTTTTATCAGATTTCAATTTGTCCAACATTGGTCAGTTATAGTTTGTATTGTCAATGCAAGGACATTAAAAAAATTTCAAATTTGTAAAATGTCTTCGTTTTTTAACTACAACGTCGGGTACATTTTTGAGAATTCGATAAAATCCCGATCAGCACACTTTTCCTCCCGCTATTTTTGATGAAATGGCTAGTATTATTTTAACCATTATCATTATGATATACTTCGGTCCAAAGCATTCTCTATATTCTGTAAGCTAGAGACTCGAGTAAATTATGATCATGGTCATGTAAAAGATTGAAAAAAATAATTGAAAGTCACAAGAGAAATAATTCATATTATTACAAACAATTAAAACCCCACAATGATTGTCCTTCTTTCATCAACTTTCAACTGAAACCTTGTGATGCTCCGGTATCACTGTATTTTTTGACGACACTCCTTGTGAATCAGGATGCCATTTTGTCTTGCATTTATAATATCACTGGGGAGTATCGTGATGCAACAACACCGTGTTGTTGCATCAAGATGGCCAGACTTCCGGTGATAGATTTTCGTACGATATGTTGTTTCCCCAATTTAAACCCATTTCTAGGACGAGTTTCTCAATAACCATACACGTGAAGTTAGCTCACGATCTATATTTAAAGAAACTGTCATTAGTATACATGTAGCATCATCAAGAAGCAAGAAGTTCACGGTTTTAGTTCCTCACTATTGATGCAACAACACCAAACCGAAGATGCAACAACACTCCTCTAGATTTGAGCAATGATGCAACAACACCAATTAATAGTATAATTTCAGAAGACCATAAATCTCGAGAGGAACAGATTTTTAAATGCTATTATTGCAACACCGGGTCAGTACCCATTTGCGTTCTTCTCAGGCATTCAAAATACACGTCCTGCGGGCGAAGATTCTTTATATGTATTTTCAAAAATTTATACTTTTAAATATCATAATGTACTGGAAGTTGTTTTATAACATAGTTCAATCGCCTTTAACATTACAAGCTATAGTAACCCAATCTATTATCATAAACCCCTGTTTCATAGCTTGATGACCCTGATACCAGTTACATGTAGTATCATTCAAAATGGTGGACAAATATCTTTCGTTCTCGGTAAACACGACGAGCTATTGGAAATCTTGCACGGCGCACATGTAGAGGTATTGTTCTCTTTGGATTCGTTCACCCCCATTGAGTACAAAGGTAGGTAATAGTATTTAGGTCCCGAAAAGGTAAATTGATAGGGGTACAGTAATCCCAGATTCCCCCTGGGCCCTCGGGAAATATCATAATGTGTCCCGGAATAAAACCAATATTGAATCCCTCTCAGTAAATAACCTCTATATAATAGAATTGTATAACTGCAATATCATTAAACCAACACTCATCGGATGTTATGGCGTTTTGAAAACTCAAAATCGCTAAATTATGTTAAGTCAATGGGAATTTTTTTTTGAAGTGTAAAATACGACATATATACGACCGAGTACAGATTAATTGAAATAAGCCTTTAATTGAAGGGAACCTCAAAAGCAATCTAGCTTCAAAATTTGGACACAAAAATGTCAAGGTCAAAATCTAGGTCAAATACAAAGTTTTCCTTATTTTTGTGATTCTGACACTATACTTCAATTATATTCTTCGAAATTGTGTATACATGTAGCCAAGAGTGTACTAATAGTGTTAGCCTTTTGCCGTCAGAAAGTATTTTAATCCACTTTTGAGATATGGTGTCCAAAAAGTAGGTCAAAATAAAAAATTCTCCAAATTTAATGTTTGAGTTATGAATGAAGAATAAAATTTTCTAAGGAATCAGAATCTGCAAATCAAATTTCGATCCGACTTCCGGCTCGGAAGTTATGGCGTTTTGAAATTTCGAGAAAAATCGATCTGATGGTATCCTGAAAGAAAGTCAAGAATAGCGAAGAAAACGTTGAAAAATCCATCCATCCTTCCATCCATCCTTCCTATCCTATCCTACTATTCTATCCTATCGTTCCTTCTTATTCTATCCTATCCTTCCTATCCTATCCCTTTTATCCCTATCTATCCGTTCCTTCCTGGGTTTACGAAAAACACCGACCGCCGACCACCGACCACCGACCAGTCACTCTCCACAGTTGGGTACATGTGGTCGGTGGTCGGCTGACGGTCTTTTACATAAAGATGAAAAAATGCAAAATTAGAAGTAAAACTAAAACTGGGAATCCAATGACTATAGTACCTTTACTAGGTTGTGATTATATATATAATTAATCATTTCAAATCACGATGAAAACGTTACATCGTCGTGGTGTGTTATGTCATATTTTTAAGTGATGTTTCAGTTGTTAGAAGACCAATTTCATCCTGGTTAGTCACTTTAATTGGAAAAAACGCACGTAACATTGCATAAGTTCATTCATAGAGAACGCATGTAATATCGTGTTCAGTATTCAGTAGGCTATGACGATAACAAATCATTTTTGTTTCGAAATTGTTAAATTAGGATAGATTCCCGTAGAAACGATAGGTTGGTTAATGATAGGTTAGGACCTAAGGCAGGACAATTAATCGAGAGGAGACGGTCATGCCCAATTTGTTTGCTTGCCATTCGTTGCAAGGTACAAAATCGGTAAAAACCGTTGCCTAGTCCCAACGATTGACATTCAAAATCAAATTATTAATATTTTAAGGCTACATATGTTCGGTCTTTTACATGATATGGTCGGTCTTTTACACATTTTCTTCTAACCCTGTTTTGAGGCTACCAGTGGAAAACACCGACCGGTCGGTGGTCGGTGGGGTCGGTCTTTTTCGTAAACCCTTCCTTCCTATCTATGCTTCATATCCTTTCCTTCCTATCTATCTATCCTTCCTATCCTTTCCTTCATATCCTTCATATCCTTTCCTTCCTATCCTTCCTATCTCATCCTTCCTTTCTATTCTATCCTATCTTTCTTCTCTATTCTCTCCTATCGTTCCATCCTATTCTGTCCTATACCTGCTTCCTATTTCATCCATCCATCCATCTTTTTCTGGATAACTCGGCTTAAAAAAGTCCAGATCTGGAGTCTGAAATTGAACTTGTTCAATTTCCAAAGTCTAGTTATATTAGTTCTTTGTAAACACTTTCCATACGATACGGTAAATTAAGGGGATTTAATTTAGAAAATGAATAATCTTTATTTTTCAGATACAATATCAATGAGGTTGGCTCCCGGGGATTCAATACTTAGCCTATGTATTTAGTTTATACCTTGTATATCCTTTTAACTTTGATAAAGACAAATACATTAAGGAACCAAACAAAATACGTTTCATTCATGAACCACGCACTCACGCGTTTTATTCATGTCCCGACCAACACCTATAAACAGAACATAAAACAGTTTCTCTTGATATTCAATGATACATTATATTGGCGTTTTTGCATCAGCACATTGGTGTTGTTGCATCATCGATAATAAACAGAGTGGTGTTGTTGCATCAATAGTGAGGAATTAAAACCGCGAATTTCTCGCTTCTTGATGACGCTACATGCATACTAATGAGAGTTTTTTAAAATATAGATCATGAGCTAACTGCACGTGTATGATTATTGAGCAACTCGTCCTAGAAATGGGTTTAAATTGGGAAAACAAAATATCGTACGAAAATCGATCACCGGAAGTCTGGCCATCTTGATGCAACAACACGGTGTTGTTGCATCACGATACCCCCCAGTGAATATGATACATTGTTAGCTTGGTATACAGGTAAGTCTCCGTGGCGCAAGTGGTTAGCGCGTTCGGCTGTTAACCGAAAGGTTGGTGGTTCAAGCCCACCCGGGGACGCTATGATTTTTGTTTTATCAATACAATAAAGGACATTGGACACCAGAGATGGGGACCTGACCATAATCCATGGTGCGGTGATAACAACCAAATTTTACCTGAAAGGGACGCAGCAAAAGACCCTACTATCATAGCAAAATTGTGTCTGATGATCAGGCCGTATGCTCCCGCTATAAAACTTATGATGAAACACATCATACACATCACTGCAAAGGCGAAGGCGGAACGCTCTAAATCTGGAAACACAGATGAACTTGATCACTTTTAATACAAATTAATATAGCCGTTCACAAGGTCTCAAAATCGTTTTTCAAAAGGTGAAGATGTTTTCAATGCAGATTGAGAGAAAATATTAGCCGTAAAACTGATCATTCTGCAATGACCGTTATTGTTGCCATCTTTCAAAAATTAATGATGATATCACTTATGATGAATTTCATACGCTTATAAAGCATCAGAATATGAATCATGATTAATGGAATGCTACATACTTATTCAAACCAAGATAACAAAATCAAAGGTCAATGAATTTGGCTTCACGTGATACCACAATTGGCCATGGTATAATACCACGCTGGCCATTGTAAATACCCAGGGCATTTATTAATAGTTTTTGTGTACGTTTTCAGATGTATCCTTTCGTATATTCTGATCGTATTTACTGCCATCTTTCAATATATATTATATATATATCATGCATTTAATTAATTTATGTATGATGTACAAATATATATATCCTTCCTTAGATTATTCTTATCAATCGAAAGACAAGCAAAATGACATTTTTGCTGAAACTAATATTAAAATAAGATATTTATAAATGAAATCAATATTACAGGATAAGATAAATAATCACAATCTAGACGACAATGCTAGTTTTCTAACTGACTGTTAACTAACTGAATTAATAACACACCTATTTGAAAGGTTTGAATTTTGATCTTGAGGAATAAACACTCCATTACAGGTAAGATCATACTTTTAGGGATCATTTCTATAGTATGCTTCGCAAGGACATCAGGTAAAACTGATTCCGGATGGAAACCCACGATGACGAGACAGAGTGTCGCCTTCTGAGCGTGAAGCGGGCTTTGGGTATCACCCTGGGTGATTCGCCTTTAGCCATTGATGACCGTTCCTCTCCCCCTAGGGGGAGGTGGAGGAGGGTGACACATTCTGAGTGGTTTTCTAACAAAAGTAAATATTTGATATTAACTCAAGCAACCAGTCAAACATCCAGTCATGATTAAAAAGTATCGGTGGTAATGTCAAAGCGTTACCCAGGCTAAAACTATGATCGTATGAGGGAGTATTTTGTACTTCAAAATCAGAATATTGAAATCTTTACAACTGTAACACTTGTAGCATTTTACGATCAGCCGTCAAAACTCAAAACAATATGAATGAAAAACCAAAAAGGGTATACGACTCTGGTTGTGAACTTCAGATGTTTTCACTCGCAAACGTGACATATTCTAACTAAAATACAGTAAAATCGCTATTGAGATGAGTCTTCCAGTCAGTATTGAGGATTTATCGGCTACGATTCAATAGTTTCATGGGATTTCTTTAAACAGCTTTACACGGGGAACCAAGAATTGGGCAAATAATAAGATTAAACGAGAGTCATTGACATTGCATCGCTTCCTCATTGTATGTATGAATTACATAACTTACATATGGTTAATAACAATGCTAAGGTACAGCAATTATAGTAACTAGACTGTTCTATTCAAATGTGTTCAAAAGATGCAGAAATGGTTTTGATCATGTAGGTTAACGCTATTTATTATAAAATGACAATAAGTTAAAAATATTAGGAACATTTGGAATTATTTAACAGATCCACAAAGTTTATTCTTTGCAGATTTCGTGAAAATTGAAAAAAATGTTAAAAACGGATCTGTTTCTCAGTTCATTTCTTATAACAATCACACAGGCCAATGTTCATATATTTTAGAATCACAAAATGTTTGATTGGAATAATTCAGAACAGACGCTCCCTGGGGATCTCTGTTACAATTTTGTAGGCGCTAACTAACTCCATGTAATTTGTTTCCTTGTATTATTCTGTCATTCAAATTCGATTTGCTGTAAAACATTGTTTGACTCGTGCTGTTTCTCCGTTTATTAATTTTGACATTAATGCCTTTGATGCTGGAAATATACAGGGTGGCCCAAAAATGCGATCCTCCCAGAGCACTTTCAATTTTTTTAATTTTGAATTCTTGCAGTCTTTTGAAGTCTTGCGCACATTCAAACATGAAAGTTTGGAAAAATGATCACGAAATTCAAACGATAACAAGAGCAATGCAAGATCACCCGAAAGCCCATGATATACTCGAATACTTCCTATCAAAATATGGCGGTATTGCACCACAAGTATCATAAAATCACGGCCGTTATATACTTTATCCTGCGCACAAAGAAATAATCCCAAATGAAAAGACATGGTGTGGACTAAAAAGAAATACATCAAGGAATCACTTACGAACTAATGCGGGTATATTTTGATGTGCCCGGTCGTTAATCTCAGAGCCCGTGATGAAACTAAAGCATCGTTCAACCCTCGTTGCCGTCAGGCCGAGTCGAATTCGTACGGCACCTGAAACATAAGAATAAAGGCATTAACAAAATGTCACCACCTTGTAAGTTATTGCAAATTGTTACAGACGCCAACTCCGAACAAAACGGTTGGAGAGTATAACAATATGTCAGATCACCATTAGGTGCACGTGGTGACATAAAAACACAACGGATACATTAATGGTATAGAAGAATAGTTATAAATTAATAATTCACTACACCTAGACATCATTCAACGATAATTCAACTTTTTGGGCGAAGTGTTCTCTACACCTGAAAAGGCAGCTTCATATGATAATTTGTGAAAAGCAGCTACATGATCACTTGTGAAAAGCAGCTACATGATCATATGTGAAAAGCAGCTACATGATCATTTGTGAAAAGCAGCTACATGATCATATGTGAAAAGCAGCTTCATGATCACTTGTGAAAAGCAGCTACATGATCATATGTGAAAAGCAGCTACATGATCACTTGTGAAAAGCAGCTACATAATCACTTGTGAAAAGCAGCTACATGATCATATGTGGAAGAACCTTTTCATGATCATCATGATGATAGACGACTGATTCCTATAGATGTAAAGTGCATAGAACACAGCCAGCCACTTAAGTCTTAATATCATTTTACTCTCATCCTCTTATGTAGTTGTTGTAAAACAATCTCAAAGCTAAAAGAGAGTTCAAGTGAAAGTACTTTTTCATATGTCAATATTGACGTACATGAATTCCTCATCAGATAGATAAATATATCTATTTATTTAATCCAAAGAGTTGATTTTTATAATCCATCAAGTGTCAAAGCCATCAGTGAAATACATGGATCAATCAAGCTCCTCATTTACCAAGCTCATATCGTTAACAAAAATCTCAAGTTTAGGTATGTTTACAGATGATTTTCCTGGATTAATCATACTTTCTTTCGGCCGTGCCTTAGACTGTCATTTTATTTGAAATAGAATATGATCACTAACCATAATTAGTTTAGTTCATATGACTTTCAGATAGAATAATTTAACATGATAACATGTAAATGTTGATTAATTTCTGCAATTCAGAAAGCAATTTACATTCTGAAAGTTAATTGAGAGGTCCATTATTGTTTTGTTATGATGAATCGAAGTAAATTGTTCGGTTCAATATTTAGCCACTGTCCGTCTGGTATACCATATGCCATTTTGGGAAAATCACCTCATACATTTACCCGGAAATGCACTGCGCTGTCAATAGTCAAATAACTTGACCAATCTCACTCTGTGGCCAATCAAAATCGAATATACTAATAACGATATTGTCCCAAATGATCAGCTAATCACGTCATGCCATTACAACTAAAACAAATGTGCTGAATTGAGTCGGGACTGATCTCTCGAGGCCTTCTCTAATTAAATATAATATTTAATATTAATGACAAAATGTATTATAATCATATTAAAATAAAAACAGAATCAATGATGCAGTTGTTTTAGAGTTCATAACTAGATTATGTTTAACTCGAAAACATTTCTGGCCAATTATGAATAAAAACATTTTTGAGATGATCCAAACGCTGTACAGCAATGGAACAGGAGATTCAAGGCGCAAATGTGCTTCGGTCAGGCAGATTTCTACATCCGCCGAGACTCATAATTTCGTCAAATCATGACGAATATTCATTCTATTTACAATTTATTATACCATACTTCGGTGACTTAGCTGTAGAGAGCGCATACGGTAATAGAATGTCTTAGAAAGTGCCTAAGATGTGGTCGAGATATCTTGAAATTATTCTGTTCGATTTTTAAATTTTTGCCGTCACATTAGCTGTGAAGGCTGACAGTTCACCACCATGTGGCTAACTTTGGTCATTAATTTTTGTACTTTGTGTGTTGGGGAATATCTTGTTGTAAAACTAGACTTGTTTTGCCCACCATGCCATGCCCCGCAATCTGCAATTTTTACATACCGCTGAATACCGAGACAAAAATGGAATTAAACTCTGTGACTGATAAAACATAGTCTTAAAATCCAGTAATCTAATGGACATTAACTATCATAAACATCTGAAAGTTTCACTTGGTTCAATTTCGTTTCAGAGAAAAGCTTTACCCATTTTTCAATATTTGGAATTGCATTCAGTTCCCTTACAACGTAATTACGTCGGAGTCTAACTCATTTGCTGTTATAGCTTTGTCTTTGTGTTTCTAGAAAAAGAAAAGTGCGTGGCTACTGGGTCCTTTATCCAAAAATATTTCCCCATTGATCCTATATCCCTACATTTTGTTTGACAGTAAGTGGCTTTGTCTTGATTCTCAAGAGTCGTATGATCAGTCGCCAACAATATTCTCTTAGCTCTAACTTGTAAATTGCTAAGAACTAGATCTCGGTCTTTGTTTTGAAAGCGGAGAATACTAGGTTAGGTCCCAAATGGTCCGGCTGAATGTGCTACATGAAGTAATATAAATGTCGATGATGAATTATTGAGAGGCTTATTGTCTTGCGGGTATTGAATTGGTATTACTGAAGTTATACAATCTGGAAGTTTTAATCTGTATCGTTGTGAACAAAATCAAACAAGACGATTTGGAAATGAGAAATTCAGAGTTCTTGATCGCTTCAATGAGACAACTGATGAGAGGACACAATGGTCAAGACTTGTATAAAAGGCCATTCTGCTGACTTGTAGGCCTATGTATGACTACACATAAAATAACATAGTGTTCCTTTAAGAAGGGGTTCCTAATTACATACATAAATTACGACCGTATACCCATGAGGTTCTGCTTACCTTCTTAGGTGGTAAACAAAATACAAAATTGATACAAAATAATTACCAGTCTGAAAGCTTTATCATCCTCTATTGTGAAGGAATTAAAAGAGTACTAAACAACGAAACAAAATATGAAATTCTAAATTCTAAAATCACATCGATGAGCTGAAAGAGCGTGAAGCTGAATACAGGAATATCAGGTCGCTCTAATCGCACTTTTTTTTATCAATTTGAATTCACAGTTCAGCAGGTTTTCTAGTAATATTTGTACTTAAGTAAATAAGAAAGCTGTCAATCCGACTGTTTCGTATGTATAGGTATATTTTGAAAGTTGCTGAAACTTTTATTTTGTAATGTTCATGGTAAGTGTTAACATTATGAACCCGAACCTGCCAGACCTCCTCGAAATGAAAGTTATCCGAAATAGAATATAGATGGCAGCAGCGTTTTATGAAGGATAAAATGTTTTTCGGTGTAAACAGAGTCACATTGATATTCTTGATTTAAATATGGTATTCTAAGGATTCGTTTGGAATAAGCTCTTACAAAAATTAAACGTCCGTGGATTGGACCATCTAATGTGTTATGATTCAAAATTACGACCTATTCTAAACATGCAAATACCCCCGGCCTGAATTTCAATTACACTGGAACTTTGTTAGATTTCAAAGGAACCATGCTGAACCGTCTTCATTGACTCGGCTACGTCTGTCGCAGTGACGACTGTGAGCACGAAGATGATTCGTTTCAACATTATTGTCTGACGCACTGGTCGAAAGTTACTAGAGTTAGTGACATCCAAGATGGTGGACAGATTTTGTTCAATTACGATAAACCTCATGTCAAACCAAGTTAAATCTGGATTCAAAACATTATGTGCAAGCTAGTAAAGTTCCGATTATAAACACATAGTCTAGCTAAAAGCCCCTGTGACCCCCAATACTCATCACTGTGTGAGAATGTGTGTAGTATAGTGAGTCAAGTACTGGCAGAGGGGGGGGGGTCATAGAGACTTGTAGCCAGACTAAACTTCAAAGAAATGCTCAAACATTTAGAAAATTTAGAGTTTCATCACTGCCAAAAATGTGATATGAGTTAGTATCATCCTAAGCAAAGCCTGTTTTCTCCGATTGAAATGGAGATTTTGGACATTCCTTTGTAGGTGTTTACAATCGGAATTTTATTAATTGTATTTGATTGTACATTCTATATATTATATCCATTATCAATAGTATACGAGAGTCGCTAAGTAGAATTGCTTGTAATGCTTTAAAAAGGAATCCCTGGGATTAGTGGATGTTGCAATAAATGCATTTCCAGACCTAGATCTCAATTTCTTTGTCTCTCGTTTGACATCTATTAGCAATGTTCTGTTTGCTACCTATTTTGCTCTTAAAAATAATTGAAAGGAGATGCATGTATTCATATTAAATAGATTAGGCCTATTATATTGAATATACGTATAAGCCACCAATAGATATTTATAAAATCCAAATAGACTGAGTCTAGTTCATTACGACGATAAATTACAACAGATATAGCCCTCCCGTTTAAAAAAGTCAATACAATATCCGTGACTTTTTCGAAGAATCATTTAAGTCAATGGCTGTACGTAGGGATCCGTGTATGTTGCCATATGGATGATTGAATATCAGCATGGACCCTTGATACAAGCTATGTCATCTAACATTACGACCTCGATTTATTCTTCACATAAAACACCAGAATTCGGATTTTATTCTAAAAATAAAAGCTGACATATTGCAATGAATTATTCAGAACAATTACATGTTTGAAGTATAAAACGATTTTCAGATTTGATTCCAACTTAAGAACCCGTGCAAGTAAATTTTAAATCTTTCTTTTTTTGTTTGGGGAAGTTTATTTTTTGCCTTATATTTATAAAAGTTAGTTCGTATAATCCATAGCCATTTGTTTTGATGTGAACACTTTACCGAACAATCGTACCATCACTGCAATAAAATAACGCAAGTGCCTAAAGTGCCCATTTGCATACGATGTAAACGCCAACCTCAATTTTAACCTAACAACATATCCCAGTCCCCTAATGGTCATCCTAAACGCTTTCCAATATGCCACAATCTATAGCAAGTTGACTATAACTTGTTTCTAACACCTAATGAAAATCCCTTGATTCCCAATTACATTATCTTTATAGTCCCGACTTCTGAATGCTCTCGCAATCTTCCTTGATCTCAATTGTATTATGACTAATTTCATTTAGACCATTCGCAGCATTCTCCCTCACTA